TCAGCACTACGATGTCACGGCGCACGTGAGCGCCAAGCAGGTCAGCCTTTCCTTGAACAATGTACCGCCTAAGAGCCGCCTAAGAGCATAGTCAGCGCACTTATTATATCATCAGGCCCCAAGAGCAGCGCTGCTGGCCATCGCCAACGAGCTCCTCAAAGCAGGCGGTGAGGCTGTCGTCGACCTTATCCATCCTATATACGCCAAAACGGTACTCTTGGCACAAGAACCTGCATTGTTCAAAGGAGGTATTCAAGTTTTCCTTTTCCGCAACCCATGGCAAAGACCACCACAATGAAGGACCAGCGCGCAATAATGCTGACGAACACCGATGCTACTACCAAGTACCTTCGTCAAGCAGGCATCAAGGCAATCGAGGTACTTTTTCGTCCAGGCCAATACGGAGGAAGACCGAGCAGGTCTACGGCCATGGCGCACCACGTCATGAGATGTCTCCGGCAAGTCCATAGGGCGAACGGCAAGCCGCGCTACTGTTCTTCGTCGATGTGGCCAGCGCCTTCTATCGCACCATCTGCCAAATCGCCATCAAGATCCCTGGCTATACAGGGCAACACGACGACATCCAGTTTCTCACCGAGCATGTTGATTTAGCAGAGTGGCCTCGATGCTTCGAAAGGTGTCTATCTACCAGCTCATCCTTCAGGCCCCCGCTGTCCTTGACGAAGGCATCTCTGACAAGAACTGGACCCTACTCAGAAACGAAGCGAACAGAACTACGTGGCTTCATGTCCGCAACTCCGGTGGCATCGGTCGCTCTACCCGTGGCTCACGCCCTGGGGTCACTTCAGCTGACCTCATCTTCAACGCTGCTTTCATCAAGACCCTGCAGTGGATCATGGACTCGCTCAAAGCTCACGACATTCAGGTCAGCCTCGACACCCCCACCAACTCATTGTACAGCCAGTGCAACAGCGTTACCGATCTGGACACCTCCTTTGTGGACGACGTTGTCATACCTGCTGCCACTACCCATGCCAACGCACGATCTGACGCCGAAATGCTTGTGGCCATCATACAGCAAGGCATGCAGCTCCACGGGTATGAGGTTAACCTCAAACGTGGCAAAAGTGGCATTATGGCGGTTCTCTCTGGTAAGGGCTCTCAGGCTAGCAAAAGGGAGATGCACGACAGCGATGACCCCAGGATACCATACATGCATGGCGACGACTGCGAGGGCGTAGCGGTTGAGACCACCTACAAGCACCTGGGCAGCATTGCTGAGCGCGACGCGCACCAGGGCCCTGAGATCAAGATCCACATCACCGAATATCGGATCGCTGCTGCCCCAATCAAGTCTCAGATGAAAACTACAAAGGCGATTACCATAGCAAAAAAACACGTATTTCGACACGTTGTCCATGGTTAAACTTCTATACCATAGTGAGCTATGGGAAATCACGGACGCGTAGGTGAAGCAAGCGAAGCATGCCTACATGAACGGTTACCGGTGACTCACTGACAGCATCAACATCACGGGTCTCACCGACGAAGATAAGAGAGTCACTGATGCTCAAGTATTACTACTTGCTCAGCGCCAACCTATAGAAACAGTGGTCAGATACAGAGGGCTACGTTACTGGGCCAGGTGCACACATGTGTCGGTCGAAGCACTCATGCTACTATGGGATCTCATCTCGGATGTGCCCAAGTCTTGGCCCCGCCTCATCCTCGACGATCTCCTATGGCTGCGCTCCCGTGTATCCACGGCACTACCTGACCCACACGACAGCTTGCAGGAATGGATAACTTACGTCAGAACCAGCCTGCGCAAGTCTTTATACAAAAAAACTCCTGAAGAAAGCCATTGCCAACGACAAGAAGTACCAGATCGAGCAGCTCAAACTCGTGGTCTGGAGGAGGCAGATTACACCGGTAGCTTCTACCTCTGAGCTCTGGAGGCCCACGAAGCAGCCCAAGTCGTATTGCTACATCTGCGGACAGAGTTTTGCTACAATGGGGGGCGCTCCATCCTCATCATACCACACAGCGCGGACCACGCGACCGCGCCCACCTCTAAGCCATCAACGGACAGTGCAGGCATTGTGGTTCCGACTTTCATACACGTGAGCGATTGCTGGTACAATTGAGATATCGTGACACCTCATGTCTCTGCAATGGAAGACACCCTTGAACCGATCACCGAGGAGGAGGCAGCTCGACTGGCAGCAGATGACAAAGACAAGCGCGAACAGCTTCGACGGATCGGTTACTACGCGCAGAAAGTCCTACGACAAGCTCTCAGACCCCCTGGTGTCAGGCGTCCGAGGAACCGCGTGCGCTTTGATCTCGGGGAGGCGCCTCAGGCTGTAAATTGCTTAAGGCGCCAGAGATGGCCACGCCTACGATCACCCCCAGGAACATTGATCTCAGCATCCAGCAGCAACATTTGCATGTCATTAGTTATGTATGCTCCCAAGTGAATGGAGAAAGTGTACAGCAGATGAACGACCTGACGGCCAACAAAGCTGTGCTGCACATCAGTCTGTCAGCTACATCGGATTGCACTAGTTCCGAGCTCTCACAGGACTTTACTCGGCAGTACTGGCTACAACTACTGTCCATTGGCACTTTCATGCGATCAGACCCTCAACGGCCAGCAGCAGCATGGTATATTTGACCCCTCTTGGCTGCGCAAGATCGACGATGTTTGGGGTCACCCACTTGTATCTCCAAAGGCTTGAAACGATATTATCACAGTGAATGAGGAGGTGCGCAGGCAAATGCTATTTCTGACAGCTGTCTTCAAGAACTCTGTACCTGTATAGTTTGTGCATCAGTGTTTGTCTTGTTGTTGATGTCCACCCGAGTTTCAGTCTTGTTTCCACGAGCATCGTGGACCAGATTGCGAAGCCCCACATCGGAGACGAGGGGATGAGCGCCCCAGCCTCGCTGGCCAGAGGCTTGAGCGAGGCGGCTCCCGACAGCTGGGAGCGCACAGCAGCCTTCTAGCACGACGGGAGTGCTTTGGGGGGGGGGCAGACGAGAATGAGTTCAGGATCGGAGGAGAGATGTCGCTCGATGGCTCTCCCCGCAGGCTCGTGCTCCTGCAGGAGAGGGCCCGTGTCCTGTGCGGGCGAGGCTCGTGCTCCTCGCCCGCACGGGGCTTGGCTGGCAGCGCAAGGGCTCGTGTTCCCTTGAACGCCCGCCTGTGCCGAGGGCGGGGCTCGTGTCCCCGCTTTCAAAGTCGAGGAACCGCACGGCTAGGCCTTAGGCGAGGGGAGAGAAAAGAAAGGAGGAGAAGGAGAAGAAGGAGAAGAAGGAGAAGAAGGAGAAGAAGGAGGAGGAAGAGGCTCGCCACCATGCCCGGACTTCGCGATGCAAGCTGTTCTTGACTGGCCATGAAGCCTGGAACGGGCCTTGCGGCTTCCCACAAGATCATGAGCTGTGTTTGACAGCCCCAGGGCCTGGGACAACGCCGGAGAGGCCGCAAACCGCGATAGACCCCAGGACCCCACTTGCCCTCAGGACCTCTGTTCTTCATGGTAAGCGCTGCGGGCTGTTCTTTGCCAGCCTGGTGGCCTGGAGCGGGCTGGCAGGAGATCCAGACCGTGGAAAAACAATACAGCAGGAGCTCGACCACAGGAAACCTTCCACAAGAAACCCGACCCTGAGACCCCACGACGTCCCTTGCTGTTTTGGCGCGGGGACGTCACGCCTTCCACCACAGGACCATCGAAGCCCAAGACGCCCAGGGCACCCTGGAGGCAAGCAGGGTGTTCCTTGGCATGGGCCGCCGCCGTGGCCCTGCCTTGCTCGGGACGCCGAGGGCCTGAGCGCCCCCCGCCCCGACGGCACGGGCAGGACGCCCTCGCGAAGAGCCCTCCCCGAGGCATCTGACGCAGCCGCTCCACGGACTGACTCCACGTCTCAACCGCTTCCGCCCGAGAGCTGGCGTTTCACCACCCCTCCTCCTCGGCAGGGCCTATCCCCCTCCTCCTCCTCCTCCTCCTCCTCCTCCTCCTCCTCCTCCTCCTCCTCCTCCTCCTCCTCCTCCTCCTCCTCCTCCTCCTCCTCCGCTTCCTCCGCTTCCTCCTCCTCCTCATCCTCCTCCTTCTGCTCCTCCTCCTCCTGGCCCACTCACCTCCTCAGTCTCCCCCTCCTCCTCCTCCCCCTCCTTCTCTTCCTGCCGCCTCCCTCTTCCTTCTGCTCCTCCTCCTCCTCCTTCCATTGAGGCCTGGCGAGGAGATGCAGGGCTCGTGGCTGCGTCGAGAGCTGCACGGACGAGGGCGGAGGGAGCAGGGTAGGAGCAGGAGAAAGAGGAGGACCAGTGTAAACCCAAGACGCATCAACGATGTTGCATTGAACCCTCTCTCCAAGTTCCCTCCTCATAGGTCCGTACAGGTTTCTCCACTGCGGGAAGTGCCCCAGTGGAAGACAGCCGTTTGAGAATCCGAATCGTGTCAAAAAACAATTCCTGGGACTTCAGCGCCGCGAATCAATGTGACTGCTGCGTCCTGAGAACCCCAAACCGAGCCAGAACACCATTCCTGAGACTTCAACCATACGAATCCTTAAAATCGCTGCATGTGTTTAAGACGAATGCGCGCGGCACGACGGCAAGATCCACATGTCGAAAAGGAGTCGCCCCCTGCCTCTGAAGTAACTGCAAACGTTGAGAGCGACAATGTGCGGCGCTGGGGCAAGAACCACAGCTTGGATTAGAACTGCCCTCCATCCTTGAAACTGCTGCACATGCTGACGGCCGAGATGCGCGGCGCTGAAGCGAGAGCCACGTGCTGCACAGGACCCGCCCTCCGTCCGTGAAGCGATTGCAAAAGTTTCAGGCTTCGGGGTGGTGGACGGCAGGGAAGCCTCAGGCGAAACGCCCAGCCCGCCCTTCCCCCTCCTCCTCTTCCTCCTCCTCCGCCTCCTCCTCCTCCTCATTCTCTTCCTCCTCCTCCTCCGCCTCCTCCTTCTCCTCCTCCTCCTCCTCCACCGCGGCGGGGATGAGAGATGGGACGGAGGAGGAGCCCACACTTTTTGCGCAAGGCAGGCCGCAGGCAGAGAGAGAAAGAGAGAGGGGCCGCGATCCTGTCACAGCATGTCACTGCCGCTAACTACTTGGCACCGTGGCCATGTCAGTTCAGGGTGGAACTGAGGAGGATGACAGACAGCAGCAGCAATGGTGGCAGCAGCTGCTCATTGCAGACTGACTGATTTCGGACCTATCCAATCTCCGAACCTTCATTCTTAAGATTCCCTCACGCCCTTCAGCATAATGCTGCAGACGAGAGGGTTCACAATGTCGCTGTGAATCCGCTCATCTCGTGGCACTCATGCATGATTTGATGTTCCCTCTGGTTCTAATTCGAGTCGGGGCTGTCACTACACGGGCGGGCAGGCTTGCAGCGATCCCGCTCACTCGGGTGGCTGACGATGAAGTTATTTTTGGGCGGGGAGCGCTGGCAGCGCTCCTCTCGCCATCCCAGCACGGATGCCCGAAGGCGAAGGTGCGCTCGTAGGGGAGACTAACACATGGCCGATTCTGAAGGGGCCCCAGGACACACAAATAAATACACACAAGTATTCCCCATAGTTTCCCATATGTTCTGGGTTGTTGTCTTCACCCCCACTTCCCATGTGTTCCCATAGTTTCTGGGGGATCGACGATTAATTGTGTCTGTGTGTTTTTTCCCCTCCTGGGATTCCAGAGACCCTGAATCCAAAAGGGTTGTCCTCTCTTGGGAGGTCGACTTTTGCTTCCGCCAGCTTCCGCCACCCCTCCGGCGGCTTCCGCCGGCGGACCGCCGCCTTCCGCCGACCTTCCGTGGCCTCCCGCCGAGGAACGACGGCAACTCCTTCGCGCATCGAAGGCAAGGCCCTGTTTCGGGGATGGACAGACCCCCCTTTAGCAAAAACGTGGTTTAGTGAAAACGACCTGAGGCCCAAACCTGGCGAGCGCAAGCCTGGAAAATAACGGCCACGGCGCCCTCTCGAGAACCGAAAACGGACAATTCACTAATCGACGTGTCACTGTTGGGGGTTCTGTCCACCCCCGACTGTTTGGAGCGTCCCAAATATACCGATGCTCCTCCGAATCTTTCCCCATGGCACGTTCCGACCAGGATTGTCCAAAGAGAATCCGGACACATGGCGACGAGGAGCACCTAAGAGACCCCAAAAAGGCGACAACTAGGGAAGGGGATCCTCCTCCTCCTCCTCCTCCTCCTCCTCCTCCTCCTCCTCCTCCTCCTCCTCCTCCTCCTCCTCCCCCTCCTAATACTATTCCTTATCCTACTCCTATTCCGATTCCTACTTCTACTCCTCCTCCTCCTCCTCCTCCTCATCCTCCTCCTCCTTCTCCTCGTCCTCCTCCTCCTCCTCCTCCTCCTCCTCCTGGCCCACCCACCTCCTCAGTCTCCCCCTCCTCGTCCTCCCCCTCCTTCTGTTCCTGCTCCCAAGGTTAGATTCGGACCGGGGCTGAGTGAAGCTTCGGCTAGGCCGAACGCAGCACCATCATTACGCATCAGCGTCAACGCCACTGGCGAGAAAAGTAAAGAAGACGCTGTGCTTCAACACCTGAACCACGCATTCGACATTGTTCTGCCCAGCGCCCGGTCGAGGTCTAGCCAGGCGTCACTGCAAAGCCCCCGCTGCAAGGAGCGGGGTCAGAGGATGGAGGAAGGAAGAAGCTGAATGGGGTGAACCGGCCGCAACCCTCGGCAGCAGCCGATGCAGCAGGCTACGCATCCCAGCAGCAGACTACGATCAGGAACTCCAGCGACATGCGAGACTTTCACAGCAGGGAAGACAGCGAAACGAGCCTCAGGGTGCGGGCTACCGCCTACAGTGCATGGCACATGCGGCCCTGTCTCATCTCTTATCCACCTTATTCCTGCTCCCCCTCCTCCTCCTCCACCCCCTCCTCCTCCTCGTCCTCCTCCTCCTCCTTTTCCACCTCCTGCTCCTCCTCCTCCTCCTCCTCCTTCTCCTCCTCCTCCTCTTCCTCA